GATATGTAGATGTGGATGTAGCAAGCTAGACAAATATATGGAGTCTTTTGCATGCACTCCCACAATGTTGGACTTGTGTGATGGTTAGGAAGCTGTCAATTAATACTACAAATAACTGAAATAATATAGGATGGAGCCATTTCCAATCGGTTAAGTCCTGTGCTTTTCTTCTTCCTGCAAGGGAAAAAGTCCCATAGTTCCTTGTTACTATATCCACCCCAGCCAGGAATGATTCAGATGGGATGCATGGAAGGGGTAGCAGGGCCCTCTTCTGCCTAGTTCACAGTCATGAAGTGAAAGGAAAACAAGAAAACAAACAGAGCAGGAGACCATTTTCCCATAATGGGGGCTAAGGATCAGGGGCCTTGTTGTGATAATCATTAGATATGTCTCATTAAAAGACAATGTATGAAGTAAGTCTTGCTGTCTTGCTCCAACACTGGAAGTTTTAAAAAAGATGTTGGATAACCATTTGTCTGAAGTGATGTAGGCTTTCCTGACTAGGCAGGGGGTTGTACTCCAAGGTTTCTTCCAACTATTCTATTCTATTCTATTCTATTCTATTCTATTCTATTCTATTCTATTCTATTCTATTCCATTCCATTCCATTCCATTCCATTCTTGTACTGAGCTGAAATAGGAGATTTTCTTCTTTTATCAAGTAATACAGCACATTGTATTTTCACTCCTGTTCCCCCAACTTTTCACCCACCCCTAGCAACTTCTAATTTCACGAGCTCACTGATCCTGTTGAAGGAGACATAACCTTGAGGATTTTATTTTTTTTTACAAAAAGGGGGCAATTTGAACCATTACATATTTAATGAGTGCTATTTCCATCACAAAAATCTGACCTGAAGCCAGCAAATGAAGAAAGCACAAATGTTCTTTGTTCCTGCTGGACAGGAAACCTGAGACGAGATCTTCTGCTTCACAGACTATGGCTCTGGGAGGGCACTGAGACATTTCTGGGAGGAGAATAGCACCATCGCGAGTAGCTTTGGACTTTTAGAGGAGACAACTGGGTAGAAACTGTATCGATTTTGTAACATAAGGCAGCAGACTAGATTATCGCAATTACGTAGGGTCCTGAAAAATAAATGAAGCAGCTGTAAAATAAAATGTAAGGAAGGTCAGCCATTGATTAGGAAATCTGCCAGCTGAAAGTAAAATGTTGTGTCATCTTGCAGCTTTCTCGAGTTGTTTGGTAAGGCAAATGATTTACCAGAATTGTTAGTAACACACTTTGTGACAGGGGGAAATAAAATACAAAAAGGACCACAATAGGTAAGCCCTCCCTCCCAGCATCTATAACCCCACATCTTATTTATTTATTTAAAAGAGCTATATAGCACCCAACTCTGTGTCATAGTCCTGGTGGCTTACAAATAATAATAGAACAAGAAATATTCTTCCTATAGAGCCTCAAAACAGAAATCTTGCAGATGTAGTGAGTCAGAACCTCCAAATTTCCCAGGAAATATGGTCAAAGGCTGGACTGCCTAACAATACCTAGGGATTGTTGGCAAATGCCTCAGAAAGCTGCCAAGTGGAGGATGTTGTTATGCAGTAATACTTTATGCAGAGCAGAGGTGGTATTCAGCAGGTTCTGACTGGAGAACTGGTAGTGGAAATTTTGAGTGGTTCAGAGAACCGGCAAATGCCACCCCTGACTGGAAATTTCACAGTATCCTTCCCCTGCCACGCACACTAAGCCACGCCTACAGAACCAGTAGTAAAAAATTTTTTTTGAATCCCACCACTGCAGAGTAAGGTTATTTACATTTTAGCCTTAAATGCAATGTATGAAAAGCACAACAGCTAGCTCAGAGAATGGATATTAACATTTGGTCCCCCGCTACAGGCCTGAGTGGAAAGGACCCTAATAAGGAAAGCTCTTAACTTATATCAAGAGCAGCATTGTGGTGGGGACAAAGAGGTTTATGTGTTACTCGCCTCCACTAATACCACGATTGTAATTTGACTTGGGCCCACTTCTGCATTCTATTTCTTTTTTAAGAAATGATTTGCTTTTTATCCCAGGCTACAAAGGGATAAATAAAATTTCATATCCAGACTGGTTCATTCTATCATATAAGGTAACTGGTTTGGCTTTCATTTAGTGCACTGCATGCACCAAGCTATTGTACATTGTAAATTATGGTTTATGGCTTATCACATTATGAATCTTAATTAGCTAACTGTGGTTCAGTAAATGAATAGTGATTAAACAAAGTTGTGGTACGATTTATGAACTCTGACTCACTTTTGGTCTAAATGACCCCAAACCCCTAACACTAACTCTTTCATCTCTCTCTCTCTTTCACTCTCCCTTCCCTCTCTCCCCCTTCCTCCCCCTCTCTCTCACACACACAAACACACACACGCTTCACAAGAGCCTTGTGACCATGCCTGGAATATTGTTTTTAAATGAAATTTAAAATTACCTCTTTCACTTTGGATTCTACACCTATTCTTAACAAAAATTTGTAATACAATGTAATAATACTCTAGGGAATCATGACAAATTGAAGATGTTTTTGAAAAACAGGGACATGAAATTTGTGGCTGGATGCAGGATCCGGGCCAGGGAAATCTCTCTGGAGACAAACAGAGATGTTGAGATTGGTCACACACACTACAGACAGCTTTGAGTAAACCACAGGAACTAATGCTTTTGTGGCTGGCTGGCAAGCGTAGCAACTGGGAGTTGAGAAAAAATTCCGTCTAAACCCATAGGCTTAATGCAGCCTCTTTGGACTCAAAGTTCTGCCAATTTTCATTTCTTAATCACTTTGGAATTGATTTTTTTTTATTCCTTTTTAAATATTGACAACCTCCAGAGTGGCAAATTTTATGACTTTCACTGGGTAAATTTTTTTCAGTCAAAATAAGATTTCAGTACAAGTTGAAGGGTTTATGAAAAAAATAGTTTTTTTAGAATTAACATCACAAGGATGATTGAAGTTTTTTTTAAAGAAAGTTATACATGGACTACAGGTTCAGATGGATTTAATGTAGATGGATTTAAACAACATGATAGCGGGGCTTTAAAAAACATCAGATACAAATAAAGCAATTATTTGTGAAGAAATAATTATTTGTGAACAAATAATTCAGAAATTACTTTCAAATATTTCTACCATTATTGATAAAATAACGATGATGCTATGGAAGAGAAACAAATTTTATTGGACAAAAATAAATTTGACTTAAATATTGACTTAAAGATGAGCGGCTACAAGAATAATATTGGACAAGATGAAACATTAAATTTACAGTAGAAATCAGCTGAATTTTTAATTTTATTTTTTTATTAAATTTTTACGCTGTCTACCTCTCTTTCAAAGTTAATAGTTAAAAAGGGCATGCAAATAATAGATCGAAGAGCATCTTAGATTTCTATTTTGGATTTACAAAAAGGATTTGGACCAAGGACTCCCCAAGGCTACCAATATTCTCTTCTATTAACACTTATTATTCATATAATATTGTTAAAGGAACTAGGCAAAGCAGATAGGTTCTATGTGATAATTCAATTATTTCTTATGAAAAGCCAGAAGTATTATAGTCTCTTGTTTACCTCCCCCTCATAATAAACTCAAAATCTGTGTCTAGAAGTTTCCACGTCTACCCACTTAATTTTCTTTATAATTCCAAAATGAATGGAAAAGAATAGCTTATGGGTCAAGCTACAAAGGACTAGGGTGGGTTGTAGAACATACTCATGACATCCCCTCTGGGCAAGTAGACAGCATCTGAATGACTGTGATGAATTGGGGTCTATAGTTAAGTGTTGTTTGAGCAGCATATTCTATGCTTCCAGGCCTCAGCCATTAGTTTTGTCAGAGTGCCTGGAATTCTTTTACCGCAGCAAAGAACAATGATCAAAAGGCAAATATCAATCACTATAATAGGATCATAGCAATAAAGGAGAGACGATTTAAACCCTTCCTCTCTAGTCCCAGCCTCTAATGCACGACAGAATCACCATGCAGCCATTTCAAGATAACCCCACTGCAGTTCAATCACGGGAATTGACTAGATGAGTTTTCATTACTCATAATCAATAGGTTCAGCTCATCACACTAGAAATCATCTGATAAACCCTAATAGATACAATGGACATTTTATTGTAATTTCTTTTTGGGGCAGGACTGTCAGGCTTATTTTCCAGTGATCACAAAGTCACTTCATAATAAGTTCAACTAAAGTCACCAGAGTAATGCAGGAAAAAGGAAAAATGATGCCCTATAGCAACATTTTCTAGGCGTGGTCAACGCATAGCACTGTAGCACTGCAGGGCCAAACAGAGAAAGTAAAGTTCAATTGTCTGCTGTGCAGCAACACCTGATGGCTAAAGGACTACCTGACTGCTGCCAGTGCCTCTCTGAGTGGGCAACAATATCTTCGAGGACTTGCCACCTGCAGGCAGAGCAAGAACATCCTTTTGTTCTGTCCCAAGTTGGATCTTCTGAGAATTCACAGCCAAGTACCAGAAGGAACAGGGATGAAAATATTCTTCAGCCCAGTTTTTCCCTGAAACATTTCTTCCCAGTTCAATTATTGCAATACTGGAAAATCTAAGACTCTAAATGGATTAAGAGGGCTATGTACACATATGGAGTCTCTCAGACAGGCTCATAATTGAAAATAAAAGCGCTCATTAGTGCCATTGGTACACGTACGCTTGAAATGTTCACACAGTCTTTAAAGATGGATTAAGGAAAATAACAGAAAAATTACTTGCCAAAAATTTTCTGTTAACCTTTAGATTTGGCATGATTATATTTTCAGAATGACAACTGTGGGTATTCCAGTCACTTGTGTTAACAGGACAAAAAAGATAATTATTCCAAGATTAAGGGGACACAACTAATTATTGTGTTCAGTAGCACTTTTGTTCTGTACTACTGAATTTCCCAAATAAAATTATTTATTGTATTTAAATAAATAAAAGCTCCACACTTGCTTTACTTTTTTGTAATGTCTTTATTGTATAACACAAGCAACACAAATAATTATGATTCGTTTTAAAATATCCTCCTTTAAGAATTCCCTCTGAACAAAATATACACAAAATACATTTTGCAAAGTGGCTTACAACAAACTGTTCTTAAACATAACACACGAGATAAATGGTTCAGATATGTCCCTCCCTCTCCCCTCCCCACATATACCAAAAGAAGAAGAGGGCTTAGGGGAGGTATTTTTAAGAGCACAAGGAAAGCTATGGCAGGATCCAGACATTTTGTCAACAGATATTCCTTATAGGTTTTCATCGGCCAGCATAAAACAAATCCAAAGACAACAAACTGTGAGGACCCATTGAACCTTGGCTGGAAAGGAGCCCCAAATGTCTTTGTCCCCTTCAAAATACTTTGGATTCCTGTCTTTTCGTGTCTGCTAGTGATACAAGCCAATTGTGGCAAGCACTGCGATTTTACTTTTATTTTTTTTACAAATTGGATCTTTGGTATAAGAGAGAAGATGCTCTTTTGGGGGTTGCATTTCACTGTTTGGCATAGGATCTGTCTGGGGAAAGTAATAATTGCAGGACCTGGTTAGTTAAGACAAAGCATATACATAAACAGCACTGTGTGAAATTTCTAACTCCTACACTTTCTGTCACTGCTGTCAGCGTTTGTTTTTCCTACTTCTGCCTCCAAATAATGGGCAGCTGTTAGGATGGGAATATTTAGAATATGGAAATCAGGGTCCACTATAAATTGCTTTTGCACTATGGACGCATACAAATAAAATTGATCCAGAGCAACTACATTCTGTGACTGCCCTCTGATTCCTTGAATGTGCAAATTCCATCTTAGATCCCATAATCGCGACCCACGCTTTGCATAGTGAAATAGGGGACAAGTTTCTGCCCTGAAGAATGTCCTTTCCCCTGCCCATTCTTCATTCAGAGACATGTGGAGACCAAGTTACTGAGTGTATGACTGCCTGATTTTGCAGTCACAACTGGAGAAGTGCAATTCCCTGACCCAGGAGGGCCTTGCAGGATCAAAATGCAAACATGAACTCTGGGCTCACAAGAGCTTGGTCATTCAGAAAATGGAAAGGGCAGATAGATTGGCACACATATGAAGTCTAATGTCTCCATCCACAAATGTGCACCCATGGCTCGCTTGCGAGGCCAAAAGCACCTCAGGCAAATGTACTTCCCAGTTTTATGACATGTGTTTCCATAAAAAGTCTACAGAAGTTGGAAACCATGAAAAATAAAACTTGTCCTTCCACCCAGTGATTTTCAATTAAATATCAAAATAATTCTCTAGTTTCCTCCCTTGAGATTATTGACCTATCCTCAGAATGAGGCACTTTCTCCTTTTTCTTCCCAGTGAATGTTTTTCTTTAAGTTTGGCTGAGCTTTCAGCCAACTAGTTACATAATACTTTCAGTCGCCCTGAATAAATAAATAAATAAATATTATTATGATCTTCTGCAGGAACTGTTGTCTATCTACCACTTGCCCTTGTGGCGATAGCAGCAACTGAAATGGTTTACAATCAATGGTCATTCTTGGTAGTGTCAGGAATGTGTAATACTTCCCTTCTTTGAAATAAATAATAATCCATTGTTACCTGCTTTGTAATAGTGGCCCTACAAGTTTGTTACACTTTGTTATGTCGCTTTTTGTATACGTTAGCACTTTGTTATTCCACGCACACAATGAACAAGTAACCTATACCTAACAGCACAGAACTGAAAAGCAACACTTGAAATCCAAACAATTTTTTTCAGCATTCAGGAGAACAGATGAAAAATTCTTGAGTATGATGATTCCGTTTCTCTGCTCATTACCACGTTCGACAGATGCTTCAAAGTACAAGCTAGAGTACGCATATAAGATCTCACTAACAAACAATGTAGGTAAACTAAGGGTAAATGTTCCCCTAAAACAATTTCTTCTTCACAAAGAACCATAGAAACACAGCATTATTTAAATCTTAAAGAACAAACAAATAGAAGAATCAAACAATCATCTCAGGGCATAGCACTGACAAAGAATTCCATAATTCATAATAGACAATCACTAGAGTTCAGCAGCAACTGACACAACTTATACATTCAAAGTCTTCCATTAACTGAATGAGAAAGCAGGGAAGCAAAGGAAACAGGACTGTTTACTGTTCAAGCAAGCTGCAAGGCATCCTATATGAGGCTGATTAAGGCTCTTCCACTCAATCAGCTCGATGACTATGGTTGAAAATGAAGGCTAGCACAATAGGCAAAGCTGCATTGCTCATAAATTTGATCCCAACTTTATCTCAACATGGCACACAGAATACTTCGCTGGTGCCTCTAACACTTGCTGATACAAGCTGTCATTTGGGCATATTCCAACAATGACTTAATGAAGAGAGAAAAGGCAGATGCAGTGTTTAATCATATTCATGTAAGACAGGGGTAACAAACTCAAGGCCCGCGGGGCATCCCTGGAAACAATGAAGGACCAGCTCTTGGCGCCTCTGCCAGGTAAAACGGAGCTTGGGATGGCCAGGTGAGCTCCGTTTTCGCTAGCAAAGGGTTGCAGGAGGCCACCGCGGCTGGAAATGGAGCTCGGAAACCCCTTTTCACTGGCAGAATGCTTGGGCCACCACAGGTGCCCCTGACATGAGTGACATCAAGCTGGCCACGCCCACCCCAGCCACCCCGAAGTCAAACACAACCCAGATGTGGCCGTGAATGAAAACAAACTTGACACCCCTGATGTAAGACATGAGGAAAGTGTGTGGGCTCACATACTATGTACCATTTTTGGAGCAGTGAAACATGACCGCCAATTGTTCAGTTTTAGCAGTAGTTCAAAGGTGAGGTCTTCTTTATTGGCATAGCTGGGATTCATTATTCACCAGCTGCCTAGTAGGCACTTTCACACTAGTGTCCTGAATTCCTCTGGCATCAGCTCCAGACCTGACTGATCTCATGCCACTTGCTTTTGGATCTCAAGAAACTTAATCACTATCTCTGCAGACCTTGTGGGTCATTGGTTTTCTCAGTGATAAAATCTCATGCCTTCCATGCCATCTGCCCCTGAACTCATGTGCCCACCCACTGTATCTTGATCTACAACTTTCCAATATTTACAACTCATCTTCCTTCACTCTTGCATTCCAACCAGAATAAGATACTTAAGCATTGGTCACAGCTTTAAGGAAAAATAGCTGGTGGAAAAATTTTCTGCAATAAGAAGTGATTTCATATGTACAATCCATACTTGTGTCGAAGTGTACGAAAGGGTTGATGTTGAATTGGCTAAGAAAACCATCAGGGGATATTAGTGCTTCATTTGCATTTTTCCAACTAACCTTACCTCATATACTATAGCTTCCCATCAGAGCAACTTCTCGTGGGGATTTTGGAGTTTGTATTTCTGTATGATCATTACAGAGAAATTGGGTGGGTGGCTGGGGAGTTCTAGTCATTCTGCTATTGGTCAAATATAGGGACAGAAAACATGGCCATGTTTTTTGAGACTTCTATACATTTGGAGATCCTGACTTAAGACAATTGTGGCCAATTTCAGTGTGAGAAGTTGTCAGGGTGCAAATGCTATTATGAAGGCAAGATGAGGTGACAGCTGCCTTTCCCAAGTTCCCTTGCTGGGATTAACATCTAACTGGTGGCTCTTCCTTTCCATTCACAGCTATACCAGCTAGCTACCTCCATAACTTCAGGTTCCCACAAATTAGATACTGATTTTTCTTTTTTTCTTCTACAAGAACTGCCTTCTATATAATGATCACATTATATAAACGTGTGTGTTTTCCCTTTCTTGTGTATCCTTTTCTCAGTTGTGACTAGAATATTAAATTATACACTAATGTTTAAAGTTATGCTCTATTCTCTGCAAGAAAACATAGAGAGAAAGCATTATATAAAGGTAGTAAATAAATAGATGTGGTGGCTCAATCTGTCCCATAATTAATGTAACATTTCTTACACTTCTTTATTTTCAGCTATGGATGTCACCCAGTTTGACTTAAGAAAAGAATGATGAGTGAATGATATTTCTGCTTGGCCATAAAACTACAAAGGTCACTAAATATCTCTGAGAATGATCTATTGTACAGATTTGTTATAAGGGCAAAAATTTGATAACTCTACATATTCTAGTCATGTGCCTAATTTTTAGCTTCTTTTGTCCTGACAGAGAAGCCAGGCAATATAAAATGGAAAGCCTGAAAACAGAAAACCTGGGACACATTTCACAGCATTTCTTAACACCCAGTGAAGGGAATGAGCCAAGATATAGAACCAGAAAACCTAAGGAGTGTTTGCAATTTACATAACAGAGAAAATATATTTTTGGTCTTGGGTTTGCATCAAAACGAGAAAAATCACTTAAACTCATTTCTCAAATGAGCGTTGGACAATTATACCAATTTTTAGACAGACACCTTATAGCACTATGAAATAATGCATGGTGCTTGCAGTACTTCCAAGATGGTAAGTACTTCTATCTGAAAACCTGTGACAATCACATTGAAATATTGTCACTTCCTAAGTCTGGAGGCCTAGTTTTCATTGTCAGTGTTTTATAAAGGTTAGAATAAATGGGCTCTCCTTTTTATTGGTACAGCTATTGTTTTAAATTTAGATGGCTTAAGGATCAGATGCCTCATTTGAGACATAACAGAAATCTGTACTACAGACTTCTCAGCCATCGTTACATTCTCAATGGTCAATCTGGACAAAGCCTATTACATAGCTGTGTCCATTCCATGGTGTTTTCCTTGCTCCACAATCTTCTTTGCTACCTTCCTGTTCTTTAAAAAATATGCAGTATCAAACACTCCGAGCCTGTCAGCGTGTCAGAATATCAGCCTGTCTGAATACCTATTTCAAATTTAATACAAAGACTCTTTCTGTCATACTCTGCTATATTACATTCTCTGGTGTCATGAGTAGGACTACACTGTGCTCTTAAGATTTAGCAGCATGGGATACAGATTGCTAGTTATTACTGACTAGCAAATGGGCAGATGTACATCCTTCTACCATTTTTTTTAATAGACAAATTTTCAGCAAATGCACTTTACTTCTGTTCCTCAAAGTATCTTAGATTTCAGTCTCTCTTTGATAAGGCAACTAAAGTCTTCTATACAATGATGTCATAAACCCTGCCCACTCTTCCTAGCCATTCTCTCAGAGCCTGACGAACCCGGATATCAGTCACATGGCAAGTCAATTGACTGATGCAGGGAAATACCACTGGTTGTAGAGCAATGAAGATCTGGTCTGGTAGGGATTGAATCTGATTAAGAACTGTCAGAACCATGTTGGTCCATGCCTAAAACAATGCAAAGAGAAGCGGGGAAGGGAACAATTAAATATATAAATTAGAACAATGCAAAAGACAAACGGAAGAACATAGAACAATAGGGAAAATAGGAAGGACACCTTTAGAAGAAATGCAATATTAGTATTAAGTTAAGAACATATTAGTTCGGTGTGAAGATTGTTTTCCCAGGGTTGAGTAATTGGGCTATCAGTGTAAAGAAGGGAGAATAATCTGTTTAGAGAAGGGACACTTAGAAATCCCTTTTCTATCTTCTAGTACTATCTAGTTGATCCATGCCAAAAATACATAAAAATGCTGACTTAACAAACATGCCAGAAATGGAAAAACTAAAAGGAAATAACTATTGCAATGTGCTCTGCATGGAATTTATCTTGATGATTCAACTGGTCTAGAATGCAGCAGCATAAGCAGTGATGAGCATGCCTCATTGAGTCCCCGTGTCACCTCTGCTTCTGGAGCTGTATGGACTACTGGTATGGTTCTGGCAGTGGTGAGATTCAAATTGTTTTTACCACCGGTACTATGGGCGTGGCTTGGTGGGCACGCTTCGCGCACTTCGCACGCCAAACATGCACTTCACATGCGTGCAGAGGGTTTCTTACTGACCTTCTCCTGCAATCCTGCACTCTCCCTGTGTCTTCAACAGCTGATGTGCAGCAATCCGCTGTACTGCACGAAGCAGCTGAGCTTCAAAACCAGGACATAAAGGTCAGAACAGAACTGGGGTGGGCTGGTAGGCCCAGAAGCTGATCGTTGGAGTGAACTGATTTGTTCACAGATGATCCTTGGAGCTACCGATTCGGCCAAACCGGGCCAAACCGGTAGAATACCACCACTGGGTTCTGGATACAATTCAAGGTGCTGGTTATGACCTATAAACTTGAGGAATCACCCATCTCCTGTTTGATCCAGAATGGCTGGCAAGTTCCGGGTCCCTTCAATTAAACATCATCTATTGGGACCTGGAAGCATGCGTTCTGTTGTGATACCTGCTCTCTGGAATGAGACCCCACCTCCTACACAATATCTGTGTGATTCCCAACCTGATAGCATTCTAGAAATGCTTAAATATATTCTCCCGGGACTTGGGCTTGGGTGATTCAGGCCCTTCCAAACTGTGCCTAGGTGCGAATAGCTGGATCTGCTGCTGGTTCTTGTTCCTTTCTTTTATCTTTTCATATTTCTTGTGTTCAATTTTATTCCGCTGGTTTTATTGTACATCACCCAGAGTTGGTTTGGAATCAGCTGGTGACTACACTGAATGAATTAAACAAAACAGAATCAGAAAATATTGGATATTAACTTATTTTGGGAAGTTCACAAGGATCTTGTGGACATCTGAATTAATCACAGAAAATTCCGAGCTGCCGAAGAAACTTAGATGATTGTCAAGAGTGTTCACGTGGAGATAAGTTGGAATAAGGCACTTTTGCCAAGAAACTGCATGTATACACTTTATATGTAGGTGTATATCTTTGTTTTCTTAAGTTTTCGCAGATACTTACATGTATGGCATTCAGCTTTGTTCGGGTATTTTCCCACGTCATTGTAGTTGTGCTTTTAAAGTTCTAGCAACGTTTTGGCAGAATCTCATCTGCCATCAGAAGCCTGATGATGGCAGATGAGATTCTGCCGAAACGTTGCTACAACTTTAAAAGCACAACTACAATGACGTGGGAAAATACCTGAACAAAGCTGAATGCCATACGTGTATATCTTCATGTATATAACAACACCTGAACATTTTGCTAAAAATGCCATATGCTTAAGACCAGGGGTGGGATTCTACTGGTTCGGCCCGCTCACTGCAAAGTGTGCACTCAGCAAACCAGTTGTTACACCGGTTGAATCGCATCCCTGCTTATGATTCATTGTGTAGTCACAAGCATCTCATATTTTGTATAATTGTAGCTTTCTGTTTAAAAACCAATTTATTTTATATAATCATAGGTCTCTGTTTAAAAACCAATAAGGAAACCAAGTGCCCCAATATGAAAGGCAAAAGCAGGCCTCCCAAATTTAAAGTTCTTCCCCCTTATTTCATCTCTTCTCTTTGCTTACCTGTATTTGTGCCTCCCCATCCCGGATTGATATACTGAATGAGCTGGCAGTCGACCCAGAGCGCGGCCTCTTTTCTTGCCTCAGAATCTCTGGTCCTGCACTAAAGGAGTGCCTCATCTGGCCTTGATCAATCAGATTCTGTGGCCGTTGTGGGAGAGGTGACTCTGGCCCTCTTGTGCCGAGCGGATCCCCTTTCTTGTCAGCATTCATTTCCTTGGAGAAATTAGCCAAGTTATGCTGCTGTTGCTTTCTTTTTTTATATTCCGTCATTAGTTTTGATATGGTTTTATCTGTTGCTATGGTGTAAATTTTGTTGCTAGCACTCTCCCACCATTCTTTCTTCCTGCCTTGGTCTTTCTTCTCCATTTTGGGGCTCAAAGGTGGAAGAAGCAAAATATCTGTACTTCCCTTAGGACTGAAGTTTTCGGTGAGGGAGTCCCTAATCTGGCTTCTATCATCTTCTGAAGGGGTGTTTTTCCCGGAAGGGGCTCCAGTAGATGGTGTGGATATTTCTGATTGAAAGGCTGGAAGGATTAAGACAGGGTCTCCTCTGAAGACAGGGAGCTCATCGGCACTATTTTCCAAATCCAAATGCATCTGAATGTAGTTATTACATAACTCCATGCAGAGTTTGTGAAGCCTTTTGATTAGCCAAGCCCAGTCTGCATTGCTCACCGGCTGAACACTCAAAGAAGGCAACCTGGCCCTCCATTGCCTCTTCTCTTTCCCCCTCGGTGGGCTGACTTGAGCAGTCTCTTCAAAAATGTCTTCGTCTTCCGAAGAGCATTGCTGGGACGAATCTGTGCTCCTTTCATCCTCTTCAAAAAGGATTTTCTTCACCTGTTCCGCAGTGATATTTTCCTGATTGGTCACAATAGCACAGATCAAGGCATGGAAGTAGATATTGAAGCTCATAGCAGACTGGCGGTACAAGTTGGCGGCCCCACCAATGCCAGATACCTTTTTGAGCAAGCACTTCAGCCCAGTCCTTGTATCAAACTCTCTGGCTGTTCGGTAGGAGTCCAAGAGTAAATCAAAGATGACAGCCAAGTTCTGCATAGAAATGTACCTGAGGAAACCAGTGAGTTTGGTTTCTGACATTTGGTGTACTACCTTCTCTTCACTGTGTGAGGGCCCTTTCACAAATTCTTCCAACAAAATATCGTATAAATTCTGCAGAAGCACTTGGTGGGAAAGCAGGCTCACTACAATTGTTCTGAAAGGGATACTTCATGTAGCAGGAAAAGAAAGAGAGAGAATTTAGAACCTCATTAATGTTTCTTAAATTTCTTAATTATATTTTTCTCTTTCTCCAAGAAACCTCCAGTGATAAGGTAACCAAAATTATAATCATTATAATTTTTTGTTGCAAATATGTTCATTAACTAATGCTGCTTATCATCTGCAACTTGTTCTTGCAATGTGTGGGCTTGTTAATCACTGTTGTGTTTTTAGTGCTTTCACTGTGTTTTAACACACTCTGGTGGTAGATTACTGGCATTCGTTTTCTGGCACCAAGGAAAGTTGTGGTTTTCTGAGGAATGCTACATAAAAGACTAGCCAAAATGACACGCCCTGTACATTTCAGTGGTGGGGGTATTTTCTCTTGTGGCATATGTGCAAATTTTACAGTGAGGTATCACAGTGTGCCAGAAATTGTGCATGGAGCTAAGTTGTTGTCCTTGGTAACACATTCACTATTAGAAAAATAGCAAATATCTCACCATGGCATATTTGTGCACTGCGGTGTGGCAAAAGAGAAGGGTGGAATATACACAGGAACTTGCAAGGGTTTCTTTTTAAAAATGCATTTTATAAATGCATCTGACTGAGGTTGCAATTCACCCAAGTTGAATTGCAACGTAATTTCAATTGCAATTACGGCTGCAATTGTAACCGTATCGGCCTTCTTCTTTGCTGAATTAGTCTTTAAAGGGCAGGTAAGCTTCTTCCTTTTAAACTAGATAGGGAATAGCAGTTCATTTTAAATAGCTATTTCAATTTCTTAAATAGCTAAGGGGATACTTTTTGTGGATAAATATCTGTATCTCAAATGCCATTTAAGAAAATACATGATTTGGATGTTGGCTTGAAATTGCATTGAAGGAAAGAAACTCTGTCTTACCCAAGTTTCCTGTGTATTGGTTGCAGCATTATAAAGAAAAATCAGACAGAAAAAAGAGAAACTCAACTAAGTGAAAACAAAACTGAAAAAAACACTTCTGGATTGACATGCAAGAGAATATAAAATAAGCAAGCAGCAAACCCACTGTTGTAGCAAGTCTTGCAAAGAGGGACATTTGTATCCCTGCTAAAAAAAATTTAAGGAATGAGCTTCCAATCTGAATAGGTCAAGAAATGGGACAGCATGAATGTCATTTATTAAATTCCTACAATGAATTCACAGTTTGTACCAATGCTCACAATTAACCCTTAAATCTGGGTTTAGGGGCTGTTGGCTTTCTGTAATAACTTCTTGGAAAAAAAAGTGTTACTGTACTGTACACATATTCCCCTTTTCCTCTCACATACTTTGGCTAAGTCAGCATTAAAGATGCAAATCTATGGTTTGCTGTGAGGGTCTGCATCTTAAGCATGCACTAACGATGCCAAGGATATTAGATGAAGTTCAACACTGAGGCGAAACCGCACGTAATGCTGGACTTCTCAAACTGTAAGTCAGCACTACTTTGGGGTCATCAGCAACTCAGAAAGAGAATCACCATTTTTTTTAAAAAAAAATATTGCACTATCAACATTTCTTCCTTATTCTATTGCAAAGCTTGAACATGCCAAGGTGTACAGAGTAAAATTTAAAGACAAAAAGATATATTTATTTGTTTTTCAACCCCATTCATCCTGTTTACACATATTTATTTATTATTTAAGGGGGTCAGAGCAGAGTTTGGAAACATCTGATCTATTGAATTATACATTCCAACTACCTTTTATTTTCCATGGTAAGATACTAAACTATCCAAATAAGAATACGAGTATATAAAGTGCCTTTCATCTGTCTCATTTTGCTTGTGGTTTAATCTTGGAAATCTGTTTCTTACCTTTTCTGTGAGTGGCCATTGGACTTCTTATCTGGAGGCAGCTCAATAATAAGCAGACAAGACTGAGCATGCTCAAATCCTTCCTTGTTATTTGGTGTCTTTGGGGAGCACTGGGTGTCCAACATGAACACCTGTGGAAAAAAAATCATACCAATATGCTATTGTCTGATATTCGGGAACCACAGGCAAGTCAGCACCAGAGCAAGCAATTTGGAATTAAAATGAGACTATCTGAATCTTGGCCTATTCACTTAACCCAGGCATGTCCAAAGTCTGGCCCGCGGGCCAATTGAGGCCCGTTTTCAAATTTCGAGCGGCTCGCAGCCTATTCTCCTCGCCAGCTCAGCCTGTCACTCATCCCCATTGGCCGACATTTTTCCCTTCATCGCACAGCAGTTCCCCTGAATGGTCGGCCCCCACACATTTTCACCTCACCAAATCTGGCCCTCCTTGAAAAAAGTTTGGACACTCGTAACTTAATCCATCTCATGTAGAGAACTTCAGCAAGACTAGAAGAACTACCATGCGGACTATTCCCGAAGCAATTTTTTTTTGTTGGCTCAATGGCCTTACTTAGATCACGGCAGTTCCTTTTTGATGTTCCCTGCAAATGGAATTGTTCAATGAGCAAAATCAGCCCTGCAGAATAATTGATATTTCCTACCCCAACACTCAATGAATTACCTTTTTACATTTCAAAAGGTTTCTTGTTCTTGCCTATCTAAACCTATTCAACTCAGTGAAGACATCTGTTGCGTTCTGAAAGGACTGAGCTGAACTCTTCACTCTGATCCGTACTTCCAGCAGGAACACGGACCATTCCTATTGGCTGACACCATTTGACAGCTGACTATAAAAGGGAGCTGTCAAACGGCATCAGCTGTTGCCTGCCATCTGGCTGCCCTGTTAGCACGGCAGTGGTGGCAACCCTTTATTGTTATAATAAAGTTTAAAGCTGAAGTTGCTCTGCATTTGCCTCAGTCATTCCGCTGCTCACACAACAACATCAGTGTCCAGGGAACATTCCCTTGAACCAGAAGCATGGAGCACAAACTTTAAACGTAAGCAGATAAATAATATCGTATAGATGGTATATGTCAGGGTAATTAACATTAGGTAACTGAAGTCAGTTACGTTGCCAACGTAAAACCCCCATCTTTATAGACCTGATAACATAAAATCAACTCAAGCAAGGTTAAAATGCTCCAAATGAATTACCAATTAATCTAGTCAAACCTAAGCACTGATTTTATCGGAAGTATTAAAACATCTTAAGAAGAGTGGTGCGGTGGCCTACAGGGGGAGCTCTCGCCTCACAATCAAGAGGCCGCGAGTTCGATCCTAGGTAAAGGCAGATATTTCTCTTTCTGGGGACACTGAGAATATATCTGCTGGTGACAGGAAGGGCACCTGGCCATTAAAAATACTCTGCTAGCTCCATTCGGTTGCCTAGACTCCACCCCGCAAAGGATTATGGGGTCATTAAAAGAAGAAGATGATTAAGATGTCTTAAGAACACATCCATGCACCAAGCAGTTAAGTATGGAACAAAGTTGTTTACTTGTTGGGCCATCGCCCTTATTCTCCAGTATTCAGCTTCGGCACTTGGGGAGATTGAAGGAGCTGCCATTTTCATCTCACAGGCATCACTGCTCAGATTTTCAGAGCCACTGTGGAAATAGCCCAACAGATTCTACAGAGAGGCAAAATGTTACCGGTATAGTAAACTATATCTTAAGCAACACGCAAAGCTGAATGGTTTCTCCTCATATTATACTATTGTTATTCATACTTTCTGTTTTTCCAATATAAACTTGATAGTAGATTTTCCAATATAAACTTGACAGTTAATTTTGGCTCACATCATAGATGATATTGAGTTGGTACATTTTGTAAACTGGGCCAACCAAGATTCACAAACTAAACATGGTTGGCTGTGCCATGCAACTAATGTTCGTTCACTAACATCCATGGTAGTTCCTGACCTACCACCGTAACTGATCTTGGCAATTAGAGTCATAACTGTGATGATCGTAATGCAGGTCAACATGTAGATTGGCCCAATTTTTAAAACTTTTTTTGCAGCAATTGTAACTGTGGGCATTAAGTGACCCCATTGTTTGCTATGGATCTGGAAACTGCAAGAAAATGCTGCTTTCTGCCAAAAAATGTGACCACAGAGTGCTGAAAACAGCTATAAATGCTGGCCAGTTGCTGAGCACCCAAAATGTGATCACATGACTGCAGGGGAAGGTGTTTTCTGATGTTGGAATTTTGAAACTCAGCAACCAGTTTTGAGGAGAGATAACTTCAAATGGTTACTAAGCAACTGATTGTAAGTCAAGGACTGATTGTAAAGCAATTGAATAACAGAGCCAAAGGCCATGCTAATGTAAATTGTTCTGATATGCTGATGATCTTATGGCTATCTTTAATAATCATGTAATGTCAATACCATATTGAAGACTACAGGAATATGGTTTACACTCTATTAACTGGAAGATGTAGAAGAGAGGCTGGTTGAGCCAAGGGAAAGCATCAAAAGGGGAATTAGTCTGGAATCCCAACATGGGCACAAGAGGCCAAAGTCTGACTTTCCTTGAATGCCACCAAACCTTATCTAGTGACACCCAGATACAAACCATCAGTCTGAGAAGATTCCTCTGGTATAGGCTTGAATAAAACAGCTAACTGAACTCTTCACAAGTGGATCTGGTTGTTTGCGGCTGACAAACAAATCCAATTGGTGCCTTTGGAATCTATTGTCACTATAGATTACTCTTCAGGAGTAGAATTCACCCTTTGTATACATTCTATGAAAAGGAATAAAATGGAATCGGACTATTTTTTGAGGAATTTTGATTATACAACCCATTGGAAATAGTTAAGATAATTACACTGAGGGAGTGCAAAATTATTCGCGGTCCAGATATCATGGATTAGATTCAACACACATTTACTTTATCTGTTTTTGAAAAAAACATTTTTATAATAATTTAAAAATAGTTTCCTTTTGGCATAGGTTTCATAAACTTTTATAAGAATATACATTTTTATGTATAATTTGATTTTTCATTATGAAATAACATATGATATATTTAGGTCACTTATATTTCATTTAATTTTATTTATTAATATTATTTATTAGGGCTTTTTGTTTTTATTTTAATTGTAGATATTATAATTCATAATTTAATATTAATAATTAATTTGATTAACAATTAGATGGAACTATATTATCTTTTTTAAACATTTCTTTCTGTGTGTGTGTGTGTGTGTGTGTGTGTGTGTGTTTTTGGCCATAAGTTATTTTCTGTGTACTTTTTTTTTAAAAAAATATCAATAAAATGTACTGTAAAAATGAAATAATTAAAAATAGAAGAATTGAATTAATTTTATATTGTTATTTATAATTATAAGCATTTTTAAATCCTTTGGGTTTTCGGACTTATTCAGCTAATGTTAATCACTATAAGATATTTAGGTATTTTTTCTGAATTGTATAAACTTGTATAGACTTCCTCCTTTTGGAGACTGCTGAGCGTGTCTTCTAGTGAAAAGAGGATCCACATTCATACATTAAGGTATTCCCAAGAGTACCCCTGTCTCTGTGAAATTGAGAGTTCAAAGAAATAATGCTGCCACATCAGTTTTCATAAAATTCTGTATGTGGAAAGACATAATATGTGTATGAATAAATAACCACACACACACACCTGCATACACATGCGCAACCTGAAAAATCCCATTTAAAGAAACGATAACCCCTAAAATCAGTTTTAATCATATATAGGCTATACCTTCACTGGTTCAAGAGTAGTTGAAAAAGCATCCTCTAAGGCACAACATGCCAGACGCCACATTTCTTCAGTAAAAACAGGACCAGCTGTCACTAGTACATATCTGTAGAGAAGGAACAAACGGTGGAAGACACAGAAATCTATTTATCGTTTGGGTACGATCTACTGGATTCTGCTTGTACTCTTTCAACTTCTCCCTTCTTCACACCCTTAAAATATCTTCAGGGAGTTTCCCAACTCTTCAGAACAGTTGTATAGAAGATGTACAAAGGTCTACACAGGCAAAAGGTAGTGTCCTTCTCCTACAATGGAATAATCCATTGTTGCATTATTCAGCTATTAGAAGGCGACAGTTGGATTCCATCCATTCAGTCGACAATCAGATAACAATCCGTATTGAACTGCCAGCTATGTCAGAAAATTGTGAAGGGATTTATGTACTATCGAAGTACTGAGTCTCTTTCTGCATTTGATTTTCATGTCTATGTTGCCCAGGAAAGATACACAGAAATAATAGTCATTTAGCCAGGGATAAATTTATCATGTACAATCAGGAAGTTATGTAGGGGAAATGTATCACAAAATGAAAGCGAACAAAAACAATAAAAAGAGCAGTATAACTTCCATTCTTTCTTGGCCTTTCATTTAGTGTTAATGATTTGTTTGGATAGGAAACAAACAGGATTTTTAGGTACTTGAAGAATGCAAATATTTGCTTACTTCACTCTCAGTTGAACAATTATGGAAAGAAAATCTTGTACTACCTGATACAAGAACAGCCGACTCTAGAGATGGTCTCGGTGGTTTCCGCTACACAAGCTACAAGTAACTTGAAAAGATCTTTGAGCATTGTGTTGATCATATTTTCATAGCCAACATCTAAAAAAGAAAGAAAAGTATTACTAAAAGACAAGCCTTCATTTACTTCTTATTGAGCTTAGGGAACAGCCATATTATTTTTTTGAAAATAGGTTTGAAATTGCTCTGTTTCGTCCTAATCATTTCCCAGAGCTTGGTAATTATAGCAAGTCTGGTCTAGTGGTTAAGGCACCAGGCTAGAAAACAGGTGACCATGAGTTCAAATCCTGATTTAGCCATGAAAGCCAGCTGGGTGACTTTGAGCCAATTGCGCTCTCTCAGCCCAACCCGCCTCAAAGGGCTGTTGTTGTAGGGAAAATAGGACGAGGAAGCAATATTGGATAAGTTTTCTGCTTTGAGTTGCTGCATTTGTAAAAATAAAAAAAGATGAGATACAAATAAATACATAAAAAAATAAAAAATAAACACACTTCTGGTCTCCTATCATGGTGCCTGTCCTGTAGAGCAGGGTGCCCTTGGAGATCCAGATGGTTCTGACCCTGTTGGTGTTGTATAACACATTAAAGACCCTGCATTTTCTCTCAATCACTAGAGCCAGGTAGTTGGAAGAGGTCACCGAAGGAGAGTTATTTTGTACCCCTGGTACACAATATATTAATTGATTTATTACAATTGTTTTAACTGTTTTGGACTGCTCTTGTTTTTGTTTTATTTAGTAGACCAGAGCCTGCAGTGAACTGGTTAGCTATAGAAAATGTATGTATGCATGTATAAATAAATAAGCTTCCATTATTTTTTGAAACCTCTAAACAAATAACTTTCAATTTCCATTTATCAGCAATAAATGTAAAACTATACAAAGAAACTAAACCAGTTTTACTTAATATGGTCTCTTTCTCATTTCAATGGGTAATCCACATACTTTTGATTACGTTGCATGAATCTACAGCAGTCGTGTTTATTTGCCACAAGGTTAACAAGTGAGATGTGCTTTACTCCAGTGGTGGGATTCACAAAATTTTACTACTGGTTCTGTGGGCGTGGCTTGGTGGGCGTGGCAGGGGAAGGATACTGTGAAATCTCCAATCAGAGGTGGTATTTGCCGGTTCTCCGAACTACTCAAAATTTCCACTACCGGTTCTCCAGAACTGGTCAGAACCTGCTGAATACCACCTCTGCTTTACTCACCTGAATGTATGAAACTTTGAATGTGTTCCACCACTAATTCGCAGGAAAGGCCAATGGCATGCTTGAAATTAGAGGATGCCCCATCCCAGTAAGAATGATCACCGTGGCTGCGATGAAGCCAAAGAGACATTGTAGGGAGCAGGAGGTGTACAACTGCATAAATACCAAATCCTGGGCCTGAAAGAGGAAAAACAGTGGGATAAAGGATCTCCCCACCTTTCAAATATATGCTTAGGTTAAATCATGACCTTACCCTGGGTGCTATATCTCAAGAAAGCAGAGAAGAGGAATTTTTGATAGACTACGCTAGAGAGGAAGAAACTATGGACTTCTAGGTATTGTTGAACTCTAATTCCTAGCAGTCTCAGCTAAGATGAACCGTGGGCGGGTATCAGTGGTGGGATTCAAAAAAATTTATTACTGGTTCTATGGGCGTGGCTTGGTGGGCATGGCGCGGCCTGGTGGGCATGGCAGGAGAAGGATACTGTAAAATCTCCATTCCCACCCCACTCTTGCAAAATCCCATTCCCTCCCCACCCCACTAACCTGCTTTCCAGCTCCATTTTCCGTGCAGGGCAACAAAAGAAGACCCAGTCAATCAGCTGGGACTCGGGAGGCAGAGAATAGATGGGGGTGGGGCCAGTCAGAGGTAGTATTTGCCAGTTCTCCGAACTACTCAAAATTTCTGCTCCTGTTCTCCAGAACTGGTCAGAACCTGCTGAATACCACCTCTGGAAGGTATGCTAAGTTAAACTCCACAACATTTTGAGAACTACAGCTTGCCTATTGAGGACCAGGAAATAAAAATGGACCGGAAAGAGATGATGGAGCTCTTCTTAGCTGAGCAATTCTAGCCATCTTCTTTGCATTTCCTTTTTGGGGAAACAAGGTACTACCTATTTATCTACTCACATTTGCATGCTTTCAAACTACTAGGTGGGCAGGAGCTGGGGCAAGTAATGGGAGCTCACCCTGTCACACATGCTCAGGTCTCAAACCTGGACTGTCAACTTTCCAGCTGACAAGCTCAGCATCTTTAACCACTCTCTTGCGTATAATTAAATAACCCATGTTGACCAGAAAAGAGAACAAACTGTGAGAAAATGATAACTTTGGGGGGAGAGTGTCAGAATTTTGGAGTTGTTTTCCCTCTATTTTAAAAGGTTTGTTCATTTTAAATTTAATGAGCTACGCAATTGACAAAATACACACAAACACACACACACGTTGGCATTACTTGTTTGCCGCTGAGTTTTGCAGTGTCTTCATAGAAATTTCAAGGGATTGCAAAGTGATTCCCTTTGGAACACCCTATCTCTATTTTAAACCTGTTCTGTCAACTTTAAGTGGTTTAATTTGGGGTCCAAAGAAGTACAGCAGCATTTGCTCAATATATCTCTATTTAAATTACCAACTATCATGCAAAATATAAATATGCCAGCATGAACCAGTTTTAATAATACTGTAAAACATGGAGTACAAATGAAAACTGCAAGACAATGATGCCCTTGGGTGTGCTTTTTTTCTCAACTCCTGATCCTCCATTTTGTTTGTATCACAGCAATTAGACTTAATTAACACAGCATGCTCTCAGAAAACGTTCTGCAATTTTATTTTCCGTGAAAAGCCTTCAAAATAGATTAGTCTGAGATACAGTAATTGACATCAAACCTTCTCTGGAAGCAGATGTGGAAATCAGTGGCAGTGGTGGGATGTACCAGTACATAAGTCAAAATCTACAAAATAGAGGTCTGATACCAGTATAAGCCCCACCGTTTTGGGAGCCTAGCTTCCTTTGAGATGCCATGACTTGCAGATTTAGATCCCTGTGGGGGAGATTAGATGTGCTTTTAATTTTTTTGTACTGAAACTCAGTTAATTACCTGGTGTTTTGGTAATGTCTCTTAGCAGTTCGAAGAGCAGATCCAGAGTAGGAGGCTGGTGTTGCCGAGGACAATTAGATATGGCAGTGGTTAGCTCTTCTAGCAGAAGGATCCAGACATTAATAAGGCCTAAGGAAACAAAATCTTATGTAAAAGAATATGTATAATATATGATAAACTTTTTGTGTTTTCCCCAGATTCATACTTTTTTATTCCAATTATATCTGTTTTTATTTTATTACAGCTTGCACGTAAGAGACTCAATTTATTTTATTACAGCCTGCATGTGCTCAGTTCTGTTTTCCTGGCTTCCAGCAAAGGCTAATTAAATGCCAAATGCCAGGCTTTTCCGAAAAGAAATTCTCCATGTCAGCATCTGCTATCTGAATTGCTGTTCTCTTATCCTTTTGCCCAAATTTAATTGACAAATCACCCACTGTTTTCATGCAATACACTGCAATCAATGTACAAGTCCATGTTTTCTTCTACTCTGATATAACAGCATCTTCAAAGGGGCAGCCTTTCAAAAACTAGAAATTCATAATCAATGAGGAACACAACCTGGTTCGAACCTTCCTCCAAAGTAGGATTATCCATTTTGTAAAAAAGAAAAGGACAAATTGTTTGATCACCTTGAAAAACTACACACATCCCACTTGTACCTCTGATATCCACTTAGCCTAGTTCCATTCAGAAAGTAGTTAGCACAACTCTCCTGTTTCTTCATACTATCTTTCCCTTGTTAACAGATTTATATTCAGTGAGGGGGGGGGGAAACCAGATGACGCAAGTGACAGGAAAATAAAAGATTAACAAAAGGGAGAGAAGAACAAGACACTTTGATTATTGATATAAGCAGAAATGCGAGCTAGAATAGATATTTTTTAAAAATTGAATAAAAATCTAGGTCCCTTGTAAAATAGGGTATATACAAAAAGCAATCTACGATATTGTCTAGAAATGGCTCCAGCTGAGGACAGAGCCAGAAATATTTATGCAGCTCTCTGCAAAATGAAGGCATTATATTGTAATGTACTTTGTACATATTCAAAAATAGCATCTTGTGAAATAATGACGCTTGCAGAAATAATGCTGTTCTCTTTAAATCAGTGATCTGTTTGTTCTTTGATGTAGATCATATCGTTATAGTTATGCAGAAATGAGGAATGGAGAGAAACTGAGAAATTGGCAAATAATCAAATAGGCAATGAATTTCCAGTGAAAATTCCTTAAACAATATTTTAGAGGACATTCTCTAAACCAGAGGTTATAGCAACTGCAGGTTTAACAGCAGATCTGGCCCTTTATAGGAGCTGAATTGCATTTCCCTATCAGAAACAGACCTGGGATTGGATTTGGAAGAGACTAGAAATCAGATTTGGAGATGTTTTCTTCTTCCACAATGGCTAGACTCCAGCCTGCATTTGCACATTAAAGGCAAATATAACAGGGAAGAAATTTATGCAAGCAGATTTGCCTTCCATAGTGCGTATGCCTAATCTGTTTCAGATGAAACAAGGGAAATTATAATTAGGCAGAACCCTGAAGATCATATATTTCACTCTTCATGGTTATAAGAAATCTTCTAAAACACTTATGATACCTGATAATAACCAACTGCAGAAAATGAGACAGACCCCTTAGCTCTGTGTTAATATTTTAGGCTCCCCCCAAAAAAGTTCTCTGGGAAATTAATATCAAAGAGAAATTTAAGTCTAGATCTCTTTTGTTTTCTTTTAAAAAAGCTTTTAAAACTTTTATGGTTGTAGCTTTTCCCTTCTAGCAAACTATCTTCATGACAAGTGTGTGTGTGTGTGTGTATTCAATGAATCAATTTGAATCTGATGAACTTCTTATGGTATGTATGTATGTGTGTGTGTGTGTATGTATATGTATGTATATAGATAGATAGATAGATAGATAGATAGATAGATAGATACACACACCCCGACATCATAAGATATATATATGATACCATAAAGTGTGTGTGTGTGTGTGTGTGTATGTTTGTTTGTTTTCTGAGGTTCTCGCGGGTATTTGTATGTGGATCTTTGGTTATTTGGGTTTTCTCCCGTGTAAGATTGGAAGTATCTAGGCAACGTTTTGATGAAGTCTCATTCATCATCTTCAGGCTTGTGTCTTCTGAGAAGCACAGAGCCGAAGACACAAGCCTGAAGATGATGAATGAGACTTCATCGAAACATTGCCTAGATACTTCGAATCTTACACGGGAGAAAACCCGAATAACCAAAGATAGATATATAGATATGTATATGAACCTTATATATTCGTAGAATACACACAGACACACACCAAAATATATACAATATATATATTTTTTCAATGAATAAATTTGAATCCATCTGATGAACTTTTTATGGCATAACTACAGAACCACATTTTTAGTACGTGATATTGAAGTTCATTTTTCATTAGATAAGCCATATTTGTTTACCTGTGTCGTCATCAAACTCAGAAAGGACACATTCAGTGCCATCCTCGCTGCTCGTGGATTGTTCCTGGACCCTTTGGGGTACATTAGCAAATTTCCCACTGAGAAAAATAGGCTTCAAGGGCATTTTGTAGATTTTGGCAAGTAGCTAAAAAGGGACGGACATGGTATAATTGGTTGGGGATTTCCATTGGCATATCATTATCATGACATTAAGCTATATATTAAAAAAAACCACTCTGCTAAAGTATTTTTCATTTTTTGATAGTCTAGCTGGTCAGAACTAATTGCAGCAATGATTAGGTGGCAGAGAAGAAAATAATGGTAAATATGAGAA